CTTGCAAAGTCATTAGGATTATCTCAGTGAACCCCAGAGGCTCTCTAATATATCCTTATAAATGGACTTAGAAATGTTTAAATATAGAAAACAGCAATATCTGACACAGAAACAACACTGAAATCATGTCACAACCAGCATGTGAGGCTGGATGCACCAGAGGGAGGAAAGAGGAAAGAAGAGAAGGGTCTCCTGGCATCTGAGGACAGGTCATGTGCCTGGTACCCTATGGGCTTCAGCCCAGTGCATCAGGTGTTGGGCTTTTGGTTTCAAGAACTGTGAAAGAAGGACCTGCCAAATAGCTCAGTGGATTAAAGCACCTGCAAGCAGGTGCAGAGGCCAGGGGTTTAACCCCAGGGTCTGCTGTGCCAGCCCTGACCCCAGGATGCACTGAGATGGCAATTGAGGCTGGGAGTGGTGCTGCATATACCTGTAATCCTAGCTCTTGGGAGGCTGTAAACAGGCGGATCAGTATGAGTCCGACCTAGTAGTGAGACCTTGAACACCTTGTAGATCTTTCTCTAAAATACAAAATAAATAAATAAATAAATAAATAAATAAATAAATAAAGTAAAAGAACCGTGATGGAATCAATGTAAGTTTTGTGACCCTCCAAGTCTGAGGTAGTGACGACAGCCCTAGGAGCCAAGACAAACTCCTCACACATCGCTACTGCTTGTTTGGGAAAATTGGCCAGTGAAGCCATGTGCTCCCAGGCTTTTCTTCCCTGGATATTTATGTATTATCCATTTGATAGCTCCACATGAATGTTTATTCATGCTCTTCTCCTTCTCTGGAGTCAGTTTTGCTTTCCAGGAATTTGGGTCCTGTGTGTGCTACCCCGTATTGTGCTGCATACCAGCCAGTGAATTCTGTTGTAGCACTTATTAGACAAACATTCCAATGACAGCAAAGTTACCTGGATGAAAACCGTGTCTTGTTGGTGGTGGCAGAAGTTTGCAGAAAAAGAAGCTCATCAATTGGCTTAGGGGATTATTGTAATATTCACATGACCACATAGTTGACAAAGTTCTGAAAACTGTACATTTAAAAGTGAGTATATCATGTATAAGTTAAGATGTGACATTTACTGGCTATCTGCTTACTACCCACCAGTGACACAAACCTGAACTAAAATAATAAAGAAAAAAATAGGGAAGGAGATCTAGAGATGGAGGGAAGAGGGGTGGGATGCAAAGGGGAATAAAAAGAAGAAAGATACAGTAAATATATGAACCACTCCCTAAGGTGAAGGCAAGCACCGTGTGCTACAAGCCTGTGTTAATAAAAATATAAAAAGACACAAAACCATTGTGCACAGAAAAATAATCACTGTGTTCCCCACAGACAGTGTAATTGCTTCTTCCTCAGGAAGGCAGGGTGAGGAGCGCCTCACTGTCCCACAGGTTCTCTCTCTAGAGGTCTCGGGGTCTCCAGGATCCCTCCAGGTCTCCCCGCGCTGTCTCTGAGATCCCCATGCCAATCGGTCTCTTCATCATTGGACAAGCAGAACTGCCCTCCATGCTTCTCGGTTGTTACTTAAGACACGTGAATGATAATCTTGCTGTGAGCTAAGAACCACATCGGTAGACTTCAAATGATGACCTCTTCAAGCCTTGTTTTGTACACCTCCTTTATTTGCTATTTTTAAATTAATTTTATTGAGAAAAAAATAGCAAAGAGACAGTTTCACAACAGGTTAGTAGGACAGTTTCAATAATTAATACATTGCATATTGTTGTCTTTGTAGTGGTTATTCATAGTACAAGATGCAGACATGATATCCTGTCCAAACACTATTAGTACAACTCTTTCTTCTCCTTGAATTAAGAGAAAGTAGCTGTATATCTATCCTAACTATTTTGTATATACAGATACAAAATGGTCGTTCATTTGTATCCCCTTTTTTGTTTAGTTTTGTCAGAGAAGAGTTTTCCATTGTCATTTAAATATTATAGGTACATGAGTTCAGCAAAATAATCCAATACAGTCCAGTAGTCCATAATAGTAGTAGGTTATCCATAGGACTGGCAATGTCAGAAGTGGTTGACTTGAGCCCTTTACAGCTCAGCATATTAATATGGCTTTACTTTTTATACCTTGTTATTTATAGACACAGTTCTGTGAATTACATGAGATGTAATTTTGTCACACTTACTATGCAATGAGGGAGTGGAAGAAACCCCTCGAGGACACAGAAACAGTTAATGGGAGACTTGGAGCTGTGTCCGTGTTCATGTCCTTTCCTCCAATGTCCTTCCCTCTGTCTTCCCTTGCCTTTGAGAACTTGGAGCCTTTTGACCACGACCCAGGAAAGCACTCCTCTAATAAAATTCATGCAATATTTTACGGTTGAATTTCAGGCTCAATAGTCTTCACTGACTGTTATTTCTCTTCTACAAACTGGTAAGTTTCAGTATTCTGTATTTTGGTGAGATGTATAATTCATGTGAAAATGGTGTGGCAGCTCTTCTTACTATGAACTGTTTAAAAAGAGAAATAGCAAGTAGCAACATGCTTCCAGACACCTGAGGTCACTCTGGGGCATAAGTGACCAAACTTCCATTAGAGAGAACTGAGAGATTATAGTGACACATTGAGTTTATGTGTTAACAAATATAAACAAAAACAAGATGCACACTCGTTTAGGTGGTAGCTTCGTGTTGTTCACTGCACACTTGCTTCTCATTGGAGCCAAGAAAGAGAAACAAACTCATATGAGTGGAAAGAGCCTGTTTAAAACTACAAAATGGTCTGAAATAAACTGGGATGCTGTGAATGGTGCTTTAGTCTTTCCCCTGCAATTTCTTGTTTGTTATTACGGCACGTCTACACAGGTTGGCAGGGGGATGGATGAAGGCACACGCTGTGATGAGTGTGGACACAGCTGGAGCTCTTGAATCTTGCCTCTTCTAGCTGGACAACATTTATTTGTTTATTTATTTGGTATGGGGTCTCATTGCACAGCTCAAACTTGTGATCCTCCTGTCTCCGCTGGGGCTCCAGGGCCAGCAACGCATCCAGTGCCAGGGATCAAACCTGGGTCCTTGCACTTGCCAAGCCGGTGCTTAAACTGCTGAGCTATCTCCCCAGCCCCTAGCTGGGTAATCTTAGAGTGGTTATATAACTTCTCAAACTTTCACTTTCTAATGATAAGGCAAGAACAATAATGCTATTGGAGTTACAAGCACGCATGAACCCACTTATATATAAAGTTCTTATTTTAGGTGTTAGAATACGGTACGTGCCAAAACTGGTCGTGGTGTGTTAATGCTGTTGCAGTGTGTTCAGGGACATATTCCAAAGGCTTAGGAAAAAAATGGCAGGGAATTAAGGTATTAGGTGGATATCCCTCCAAAACGTTCGATTCAAAACAAAAGGAAACAATTAAAATACCCTTCAAACAACAATATATTCAAATAAAGTATCTTCCAACATGGAACTTGTCAACAAAACAAACAACTCTGTAAGTTAAAGGCAGTGGTTAGCTGGGAATTTTCCACCCTCGATCGTGGAGATTTGGCTGCAGAGTGAAAGTAATGAACAAAAGGACACATTTAAGAAAAATGCATTTATTTACTCAAACTAAAACCTGAACTTAAAAGAGGAAATCTTACAGAGAAACGCTCAGATGCCACTGCAGAAGCGATAGTCACATACTCGAAGCAAAGGCAGGAATGCTGGAATGCACAGGTCCTTCAGGGGCTCTGTGGGGACAAAAGGCATCGTGGGTAGAGAGCCTTCCAGGCCACACTGCTTCTTCACACCCACCTCCATCCAACCAAGATGGAGGCTTCTTCTATCCCCATGGCAGTGTGAGGCCTAGCATTCAACAGGGTGAGCAACCCCCCAGCATTTTATTGGCATTTTTATTAATTAGCTTCTTTCAATGATCATCTTATCACTGTCTTTGCTTGGCAGATGAAAATAAGGTGTTCAGGGGCGCTGGTCAGAGCAGTGCTCGTGGGTGGCGAGGTTCAGGTCGCTCACACTTCTCTTCGGAATCTAAGCTCTGCGCTCCTTGGTGTTCCATCCTCCTTCCTGATCACCTCTGCTGGAGAAGTGCTGCATCCCAGATGGACCACCCTTGTCCAGGCAAAGGGTCCTGCTGCAGTGACTGGGTGGCTAACTGCATCTTCATCTTAGTCAAAGGTTTATGCTGTTAGTTGCAGCAGGTGAAAGCGGTGGAAGTGCTGGTGGATGCAGTGCTGAGCTTGTTAATTCATTCAGGACGCTTCTGTAGTCAACGCAGGGTTGCTGAACTCCACTACATTCTCTGCTTTTTAGTTTACCTCTGATGGGAGGCAGACATCTAACTAGCAGGATAAAATGATCACATCATCAATCATGCAGTTCATTATAGACATACAACACCAGAGATCACAGCAAAGGAGACTAGGAATAATTTTGAACTAAGTTAAACTCAATTTGATTTACAGTCATTTTAAAGTGTTAGGCTTAGGAATGGTTCAGCACGAGTTGAGTGTTGGTATGAGTTTGGAGCAGAGATTGACAAATAACATCTGTGTGAACGTGAATACATTTTTAGTCCTTCATGTTTCCCAGTTTTCCTGATATGTAACAAGGAATCTAGCTCACTGTGTCACTAAGGGGAGACCCAGGTGTGTGCGGCAGGTGTGTGTGGCAGACCCTGCAGTGGGCAACACAAAGTGTCAGCTGCTACTGAGCTCAGGGGGAGTAACACCTGGACAGGTCCATCTACACAGTGGTTTCGCTGCTATGAAGTCCTATACACCTCTGTAACAAATGCATAAATTTTAACATTGGTTGCATAACCCGTTAATATTCCTGTGTGCAATTAACGGGGCACGTTTGGTTTTCAACGCCACATTTTCTGGGAACTCTCAGAATACAACTGGTTGCTCCTGTGAAAGAGCTGCCTGAGGCGCACATACTTTGCAATTTCAGTTCCCTCATTTCATCACTGTGCTCCTTTTCCCCACACCTGCAAAGCAGCTTGTGATTCCCATGTGATCCTGATGGAGAACAGCACGGAGGTGGCAGCCTTCCTCCTGCTGGGCCTGACCGACGACCCCCGCCTGCGGCTGCCCCTCTTCCTCGCCTTCCTGCTCATCTACGCCATCACTGCGCTTGGGAACCTGGGCTTGGTCCTGCTGATCCTGCTGGACCCGCGCCTGCACAGCCCCATGTACTTCTTCCTCGGGAACCTGGCGCTGGTGGACTTCTGTTACTCCTCTGCGGTCACCCCCACGGCTGTGGTTGGGCTCCTTAGTGGAACACAAGTCATTTCCTACAGTGCCTGTGCTGCTCAGCTGTTCTTTTTTACAGCATTTGCTACTGTGGAAAACTACCTCCTGGCCTCAATGGCCTACGACCGCTATGTGGCCGTGTGCAAGCCCCTGCACTACCCTACCACCATGACCGCAAAGGTGTGTGCGGGGCTCATCCTGGGCTGCTACGTCTGCGCTTTCCTCAGTGCCTCCTTCTACACGGGGGACACGTTCAGTCTCTCCTTCTGCAAGCTCAACGCGATCCCTCATTTTTTCTGTGACATCCCTGTAGTCATGGCGCTTTCTTGCTCTAACAGATATGTGAACGAGCTGGCCCTCATTGATGTAGCCAGCTTCGTTATCTTACTAGCCCTCCTGATTATCTTAATATCCTACGTATTGATTTTCAACTCTATCCTGAAGATGCGCTCAGGGACAGGGCATCGCAAGGCTCTGTCCACCTGCGCCTCCCACCTCACCGCCGTCTCCATCTTCTACGGAACCACGATCTTCATGTACCTGCAGCCCAGCTCCAGCCACTCCATGGACACGGACAAAATTGCCTCCGTGTTCTACACCATGGTCATCCCCATGCTGAACCCCGTGGTCTACAGCCTGAGGAACAAGGAGGTCAAGAGCGCATTCACAAAAATTATTTTGAAGGCAATATGATCATTAAAACTTTGGTTCTGGCTGCCAGAACACGGAGAGATGGAGAAAGCTGGAGAGGAAGGGCGCATGAAGTCCCCAGGTTGCAGCCTGCAGCAGTGCGCTCTCCTATGCTGGGCACCTCTGAAGCCCATAAGGATGACAGTCACGATTTCCCACCCACATCCACTTTCCCTCACTCTTGCAGGTCAGGCTCCTCGCCCTGGCACCCGGGGCCTCCAGGCGGGCACTGAGGCCCCTGCCCTGCGTGTGTCGGCCCTGTGAGCTCAGGGGTAGCCGCACCACAGCCCGCGCCTGCAGGGAACCTTCCACTCCTGGTACCGAGACTGCAGATTGCAAGTGGAACAGCGTGGACTCATAGAACAGACTGAAGAATCATAATTTAATGCCACGTCGGTGTCGTAGAACCTTAAATTGTATCTAATTTTTTAATCTTTCACCACTGCTCTAAGAACGCTAGTTTGAGAAATATTATATATCATTAAATAAAAGTACGTGCTTTTCCTTTACACATTTTAATGACAGGTGTAGAAACTTAGTATCTGCCATGAATTAATATTTCTATTTAGCTGTCTTTTATGCTGCCGATACTTGTTCGTGTTTTAATTTTCAAAGGATACAATATCCTGTGTAAATGCAGGAAACGTGAGAGCGTTTGTAATGAGTTTATTTATTAGTACCATGCTGCAGCTTGGTTAAAAATTGCACTGAGAAATGCCTGCCGGATTTCCTGCGGAGTCTTAAAGTTGCGAGTGCTGCCCATTGGGCTGGTGCTCTGCTGGAGTTAGGCACTCGCAGCCTGCCTCCCAGTCTTGCCTCGTTCTGCCCTTAGTGCGGGCCTGCATTTCTTCACTGCTTCAAGCAAACTCGCGCCTCAGGGCCTTCGCACCTGCTGTTCTCTGTGGGAAAGGTCCTCACTCCATTCTGGTTTTTAAAGAAGTGTTATCCTGTCTTGGAGTCCAGCCCTGACCAGCTTCATAAAATGATCCGTCTCCACGTACTGCACAAGCTGTCGTGTCCAGCAATGAGATTCTTCACAGTGCTTGCCAACCCTTGTCTGCTACATGATCGTTTGTTTTTAAAACTCTTCAGAACTTTGAAAAAAAATTGTTTCTTGGAGCTGGTCAAATAGCTCAGGGGATTAAAGTGCCTATAAACAGGCACATGTGCTGGGGGTTCAATCCCTGGGCCTGCCTCCTGGCCCTGCCCACGGGGCATGCTGAGATGGCAGTTGAGACTGGGCCGTGGTGGCGCACACCTGTAATCCCAGCTCTTGAGAGGCTGTAAATAGGCGGATCATTATGAGTCTGATCTAGTAGTGAGACCCTGGATACCCTCTAGACCCTTCCCTAAAATACAAAAACAAACAAACAAAAATTTGTTTCTGGGGCTGGGGAGATGGCTCAGTGGAATAAGCACTTCCCTGGCAAGTGCAGCACTCTGAGTTCAATTCCCAGTTCCGCAAAATAAATAAATAAATAAATAAATAAATAAATAAATAAATAAAATAAAATTTAAACTAAAATAAATAAAAAAATGTTACTTATTAACATCCCCCAACTAGAATATAAACTCTGAACATGGAGAGCCTATTTTCCCATCACCTGATCGTCTGTGTCTAAATGGGTGTCTCTCTCCACTGCAGCTCCTCAGTGAGCATTCCTTAGATGAAAGATAAAGAATGAAGCCTTGAACTCAGTCCTCCCACCGCCCTGTCGACCTTGTGGCTGACAGTGAGGCTTGCAGGCCTTTCCAGGCCCACAGCTCATTTTTTACTTCGCTAAATCTTTTTCTGCATTTGCTCTTAGCCCTCACACATGTCACTTTCAGACACAACTATCTTCTGAAAATTCTATGGTGGAGCTGAGCATTTCCTGTCATCTCATTGTTTTTACTTAGAACCACAAACCTCCTGGGAAACTGTCCTCTCTAATTTTCCCTAATTTATTCCAGAAAAAAAATCAGTAGTACCCGGGACCCACGTAGAGAGTGCCAGACAACTGTTATAACAACCAACGTTGCTGCTGAATGTGGTCCTAAGAAATGCAAGGTGTGTGCAGATATTCAACTAGAATCGTTGGTAGAAATGTATGTGGGTGATCACAAGTACATTTGATGAACTCATGACCATTTTCTGTTAGCTGAATTTCCTTTATAAGTGGAAGGTTCCAGATGATGCACTCAAGACCTGATGACTCTCCTTGCTCTGAGAGGATCAAGAAGTAATCGTGGATTTTTGCTTTTAATATAGGGATGTGGATGATATCAGTGGGCTACTAAAGTGAAATCCTTTTTCAAGCTCAGAAAGAAAGTAGATAGCTTACTGGATAACAAATAGCATAGTGAGACATTTGTCTATAAGTGGATATAACTCATGATCATACTTATAAGTGAAATAACTTACTCACACATGTAAACATCATATTATCTCTCTGATAAGAGAAACTAATCTAATCTTATTGGTTGACCATAGTTTGGTCCCACCTCATGTGCTAGTTCCCATGCTTCCCATCTTAGACCCTCCTCATCTCTTGGTTTTATAAAAACCAAGAGATTATAAAAATCTCTAGAAAAGGCAGATCTCTGGGCAACCCACTCAGGCCCATTTCTGTCCCTCTCTTGGACAGAAGTTTTCTCTCTCCCAACAAATATATTCTGCTCTTAACCTCTATTTTTTTCTAAACTTCGTTCTTCAGTTTTAGAGAACATGAGATGGTCCTAGGTATTTTCAGGTTAGGAGTTTCATTCCCCTATATCAATATTACAATGAAATATTATCATTATATTTTGAAGTTCTAGATTGTAATTAAAATTATTTTGTGCATACATATATTAAACTGAACAGATTCTAGATGTCTACATGGAATACATATGATAATATTTATCAGTCATGAAGATAAAATATAGCCAGTAATCTTGTGCTAAGCACTAGGTACACACATTTAATTTTGTTCTTCAGGGAGCTGAACACTACACCACACACACTCAGGTACAATAGTGTCTTTTTGGGTAGCCTGCCATCTGTGGCCAAAAGGAGGTGTCAGTTTGCACGTGCCAGGCTGGTCACTGTTTTGGGTCACTCAGAATAAGAACCATATCAGCCAGATTGGAATTTGGAAAGCCGCTTATTACTGAGCTCAGGGCCTCCGATCAGCTCTCACACAGGGGAGGACCAAAAGGCAGCTAGCCCAGGAAGCAGGGGCCTTTTAAAACATGAAACCACATTCTGTTTGGTAAACAAATTCATTGACACAAAACAGTGCTTTCAGGGCCAGTGTGCCACTACCCAAACTAAATTTCCTGGGGCTTTGTTTTAGTTTCTGGTTATCTTGCACCTGAGTAAGTACCTGCAGGCAACCTTGCATACCCCAAGGTTACAATAAGTTAAATCCCATTTAGTTTCCTTATGAAGTCATCTCTGTAATCTAACTTTGCTTACAGGGGTTGGTTAGGTAGGAATTTTATCTAGCAAATAGCAAGTAACAGCCACTATTTACTAAACAACTTAGAACAGTAGTGAGTATACATTTACAACAGAAAGCACAAGATTTACATTTACAATCTAAAACATGAGTTGACCCACTACAGTCACACTGCTCCTTGTGCAGGGGCAGTGCAGCAGGGATATTTACTTCTGCATCGGTGATGCTATTCCTCCTCTTGGAAGTGTTTCTAACTGTTTAGTCATCACTTAATGGAAGATTTTCAAAGCTAGTGAATAGTTTGTTGACAAATTACATTCTTGCAGGTTCAGTCATAGCTTGAAAAACATAAATAAATAAATTAAAAAGGAACCATATGCTGATTTCTAAAACATTCCAGTGTTATTCTATGTGGTCCTGAAAAGATATGTAGAACCCATTAGGTTAAGAATGAAAAACTATGCTTTGAGTGATCTAAACATGTTCCCAAGTCCTCCTGTTGTAGGCAGCTGATTTAGATAGAAATATTATAGGTAGTAGGACAGGGCTAGGTCCTCAAAGGACCTAGTAGGTAGAAAAGATTTCTTGCCACCCTGGGAGAGACAAGCACTCCCACTGTGGGTGCAGCCTCAAGACAAAAGATTAAACAAATGCAACCACATACCTCCTTAGGGATAGACATCGGTGTCTGATGTTCTAAATAGGTTATCAATCACCTTGAAAAATCCAGGAAGACTCACTAACCCAACCCCGTACAGAGAAGGCACTTGCTCTGCATTCATGCCCACTCACCACGTGACTTGCTTCCCCATTTGATCCTGATTTCTGAGCAATTGTGCTTATAATCTTACTGGCTGACCATAGTTTGAGCCCACCTCATGCCCACCAAGTGAGTTCCCATGTTTTCCACCTTAGACCCACCTCACCTCATGGTTTTGCTCTATGTACATCCCTGGAAAAGATAGGCTCCTTAGCAGCCCACTCGGGTCCCCCCTCTGTCCCTCTCTTGGACAGAAGCTTTCTTTCCCCAATAAATATATTCTGCTCTTACTGTCCGTTTGTTGCTCCTAAAGTGCATTCTTCGATTTTAGGAAGCACAGACTGGTCCCAGGTACCTTTCAGGCTGGGAGTTTCTTTCTCCGATATCATGCCCATAAAAGGAAGTCAGAATGATTTAACCAAGCAGAGTCCCAAAGGTGAGCCTGCAGTGTGACCACAAAAACCAATACTGAACCTTGTGGCCAGCCACAGAACTAGAATGTCAGCAGCCACTGGAAGATGAAGAGGCAGGACGTGAAGTGGCTCCTGAACCATGGAGAGATCACGCCTCTGAGGGACTGACCACTGGCTCCCGCTCAGAGGCTGATTTCAGAATCTGCTTCCCATAGTTGAGAAAGAGTGAGCAGGCATTGCTGTAAGCTTCCAGGGGTACGGCAATTGTTACAGAGCTAGAGGCAAACAAAAGCTCCCTTACCTGGCTTTTTTTCTGTCATAAACTTATATTGCTATTTTATGGCTTTTTAGGAGAGTCCACAAGGGAAACCATCTGTTCCTGGGCTCTTTGTTGGGAAGTTATTTCCT